AGTAGCAGTAGTAGTAGTAACAGCAACAATAGCAAATATGTTCCGATTTTCGCATGCTGCTCGTAATCTCCACACCCGTGCTGGCCCGTCTGGATAACTAAGTAACTACACCCTCAGCTCCATGTGGGAGTTTCAGAACGCGCAGGAATGAGGGATGCGATTGGAGGCCCGAAATATCAGGAGTCTTGTCAAGAAGACCGCCAAGGGGGATGCCTGCTTCAAGAGGGCCCCCCCCTACCTACAGTAATCGTGAGCTTCCCTAAAATTTTTAACCCTACAGCAAAAGATAATCCTAATCCCGCCCAAACTCGCAAGCCCTTTAAGCTCTAAGGTTTTGCATAAACCTGTTTGCCGAAACTGCCATATGGAACACAACCGACACGACAGGATAGCTTTCCCGGATTCGGGCACATCAACTCCCCTTCATTGTCCCTAATATAGTTTGTTTAAGAGTGATAATCGAATATACCCAAAACCTCGTGTATTCTAATCATTAAGGCCCCTCTGCAATTAAGTCAATGAATATGTATATATATATATATATATATGATAAACATACATTTTTCTACATGCTGCCGAAATCCTGAGGCGGTGTCTCGCGGATGCCGTCGGCTGGTTCGGTCCCTTTGTACCTCAGTTGCCTGAAAGGCTTGAGTTTGAATCGGTTCGATCATATTTTGCAACAGTCGCTTAACTGCAATTTCGTTTCCCGGAGCGTGTAGATGTATTGATCATATGATACCGGCTCGTATGACCAGACCGGAGAGAATAAGGAAGAAACTAGTGGTCTCAGTGACGATGTCTCTGCTGAGGCCCATGGTGATAGCACTGGGTATCGATGGAACACGAAGACGAAGACGACAACTGCGAACATGACGACGATGACGACCCAACGACCCCCGCGACCAAGACGACCACGATGTCCACAACGACTGGGGAGACGACCACGAAAATCAGGACACGGCGACGACGATAACCACGACGATAATGATGAGGATGCTCATGATGACGGTGGCGATGCTGAGGATGCTGGTGAGAATGAGTCTGGTGAATCTGAGCATGAATCTGAACATGATCAAGGTTACGGTGGTGAAGCTGAAAAAGCAGAAGATGATTTTGATCCCCGGGATTTGCGTTTGTGTTGGCGAAGACGATGTGATTCATGGTGCTGCTGAAGTAAACCTCCGTGCGCATCTGGTGCGCCTACATGCGAATGTGGATCGTTCTTGCGACGGCCGGGTTTGGTCGCAAGCTTAGTGTTTGGGATGTCCACCTCAAAAGTCAAGTCAACATGTTGGAGTTGGGGGACTACCTAGAGGATCATGCCTTACCACTTTGTTTTAAGGTACCTACTCTTCTTAGGTATGAGATCCTAACCATAAAAAAACTAGGTATCATAAAAGCACATGGCTAGCGTATGACCCTCGACGTAGTGCTGGTGGGACAGCCGTTGCTAGGTACGACCTCCAAGGAGCAGCCTTCTCCGAGCGAAGATGATTCCCGGCATGCTGAAGTCGCCACTCAAGGGTCTGAAAGGCTTTAGGGTTTAGGGTTTAGGGTCTGATAGTTACTTCAAAGAGACCTCGTTCAAAAAAGGGGTCTGATAGTTTCGAAACTCCTTGGAGAGATGAAGGACACCTCGGAGCTTCCCGGGTTTTGACGTCTCAGAGACGATGTCTTTGACAGAGCTTGGGCAGTTTATGTTTCTTTCTCGTTGCCACCTCGCCTCTCAAAGCCTTGCACCTCAGATGTAAGCTTGCTTCGCACCCCGGCTTGAACCTTATAGGACTCCAGGACGCCTCACCTTCAGCGGGGCTAATAAGACGATATCATGGACCGGCTGCGCCGACCGGAATCTTTCGATGACGTGTTTGCAGAAGGGCTGTTCCGTGCCACTACTGCCCCGGCCATCCTCGCCCACTGCAGAGCCATCTTCATGCAAGGTTTGCCAGGTCCACTCGGCGCCGGTGGCTTTCGAGCTGAAAAGATTCCGACGAAGCAAGAGGTGCTCCAAGCAGGCTCGTGCATTTTCGGATCGTCTTCCTACGCGGATCATGTGGACGTTTTTGTAAGCAACCGCTGGGCCCGGTGATGGAGAGTGTCGGAAGTCAGTTGCATGTACCTTCCGCACATGTTTGGTGGCCACTTTGCCCATCATCTTCTACGGCCCCGTGGACATTCTCCAATTCGACGACGACTGCAGATCCCACAACGGGTTGCCCTCCCTTCAAAAAGCCGTCCTCGCGGAGATGCTAAGTTGTCGGCTTCCTGGTTTTCCCCACCTCCGATCCTATCATAATATTAGGATGATACTATTATACTACTATTGTTTATTGTAGTACTCTAATAATACGTATATAGTATTCTTCTTCGGATGCTGATGCCGTCACCGTCCAACCACAGACATTGCAATTCGCCTTGGCAGCTCTCAGTGCTCTTGTGACCCTTACCTATGGCTACCTGTGCGCTGCCATGGTGTTTGATCTTTCGTTCGGCATGTGGGGGTTTCCGAAAATAGAAGACCTAATATAGTACCCTAAATAGTAGGAGCCCAAAATTAAGGTACCCCTTGGGCTCGATACTCTACGTCATGCTGGTAATTTTACTCCCCCTGCAGCTGCGATTTCTCTTCAGTACCGATGGTAAGCGTTGCCGTGGATGGAACGTACCGGGCTCTGCGTGCAGCAGGCACCTTTGACATCTAGTGTTTCACTCGAGCTCGGCGTTTGAATCCAATTTCTCAACAATCCAAAATCCTCGCACCCTGCCTTTTGTTGCACTTTCCTGCATGACACCTACCCAGAAAGACCAGTAGTCAGTAAGAGTAGAGAACTTCTTCAAGACACCGCCACTGCTGATACATTTGTTAGAATAAAAGAATCCAAAGAGCAGAGAAGTGGCCAGCAGATGCATTAAACGGACGGATCGAACCTGTTGCGTGCAGATTCCAAGGCAGTCCTGTCGAGAAACGAGGAAATCGAGGGAGTGTCGGTATATCTGCGCAGGAAAACTACTCGGTGACCCAGCGCCAATCAACACCCTCATGGATTCGAAGAATTGGAAACACAACTAGAGTCCAAAAGGCACTGACAGTCGCCTAGCTGAGGAGATGTCCAAGAAGCTTCTATGGGATGCTTTGGGCCGCTTGGTTGCAATTGAGACAAAGTCTCGGGGCTTTAGGGGCAAAAAGGGGGCAAGGATTGAGAGCCCCTGCCCTTGTCGGCTAATCTTCCTGCAATTCGCTGGCTGCATAGGAGCTTCTGCCGATAGCCCCCAAAGCAGCACTGAAGCCAGAGCGAAGCATCGGCACCATTACAGGGCTGGGCTCTAACCGGTGGGGTAGCTGCCTTAGTGTTGGGCCGGGAGGACCGGCACATCCCTAAACCCCTAGCAACTGCCCAAACCCTGAGCCCCATGACCTGCTGCGGCAACTCTAACGACTCCCCGGATCGCCGTAATAAAAGGCATGCAGAAAGTCGATGAAGTACAAGAAAGAATCAACACTGTGGAGCCCTTCTTATGGATCTTGAGAGAGAGGCACCATTCTTTAGGGTTTGGAGCTCAAAACAACTCCTGGTCCCTCAGGCCCAAGCACTAATCCCAGCTCCCAAAGGCCAGGGCATGAAGCCTCAGGCTGACAGCCTTTTGGGCCCAATCTCTTGAATGGGGCTTATAGGGCTTAGGGGTTAGGGTATAGGAGGTTATTATATTATATTATATTATATTATATTATATTATATTCTATTCTATTCTATTCTATTATATTATATTTTAGAGTTTCAAGTTTGCTGGTGTCTTCTGAAGACCCCTAGGTTCCAGCTTGCCGGCATTCCAAAGATCCCCAAAGCCCCTGCTGCAAATAAGGGGTACCTTATTTTGGGGTCCCATAATAAGGATCCTACTATTTGGGGTACTATATTAGGGTCCCCGCAGTTTTGTGTAAGGCTCTTGGGCTTTTACTGCCGACTCCGGTCTCGGCGCCGGGCCTTCATGGGGTATGGGAGGGAAGAGTCGTGCAGCATAAGAAGAGGCCCCGGGCAAATCCACCGAGCCCCAAGGCAAAAAATAAGAAAGAAAAGGACCTTCAACAGTCCTCGGGCTCATTGAAACCTCGAAATTTCCAGCTCCGGAAGTGTAGAGCTTGGGATTGCTGCCACGAGGTCTCGACGAGAGCTCCATACCGGGTGTCCAGCCGGAAGGCGAGAAGGCGGGGCACGCAGAAATCGTGCCTTGTTGTTTGCGATTCTATCTCCCAGTTTTCGGTTAGGGTGCTATAGGTTCACGTTCGCTGCATGGACAACATAGTCTCCCATGCGTTTCAGCACTAGAAGAACCAGCTAGGATCAGTACCTTCAGAGCCACTAGCAAAGCCGCAGTGTAATTGACCTAGAAGACCTCAGGTGAGCAAGTTATTTGAGGGCGGCTTCCGAGAAAAGCAAGACGGAACAGCTTCTTCCACCACCATGCGCGGGCTACATAATGAATACGAACGGATGCGGCGTGCGGGTGTAAAACGTGCTGCCCATACGCCTGGCTTCTGGGATGCGATGAGAAGCTACCGCACACACCAAGGTTTCGGGTCACAACGACGAACAGACTAACTAGTCCGGGCTGTTGCGCCATAAGGCAAAGGGAACACTAGTCAGATTTTTTAGCCCAGAGCCTGACCCCATTTACATACAGCAAAAGAAAGAGAGGCAGGGGGAGGTTGTTTTGTGGCGCGTGCAGGCCACAAGTTCGTTGCAGCTGAAATTGTGAAGTCGCTTTTCGGCTGTGCTCTTCAGCAGCTCTGGAGACGTTTCAGTGCCTGAGAACTTCACACTGCGGAGGGGCCCCAAAGCCAAGACCAAACGGCAGCGACCTCCAACTGAAGCTTCAGAATCCCTAGAACAGCCTTCCTCATCGCAAGCCAGGATCCGCCAGAGTTGGCGAAGCTGGAGTCTTGACCATCATTTGCAGTGCGGTCAGGGTTTCGGGTAGTCCGTAGCAGGAGCGGGACAGTAAACTCAGTAACAGCTCTGTCGCCGATGCGCTGGAGCAAGCCAGCGGCTGGAGCCTAGGAGTGAGGTCCCACTGTTCGGTCGCAGGGGTTTGGAAGTTTAGGGTTTTAGGGGTTTGGGGCCCACAGGATCACGGAAAGCTGCCTCTGAACATGACCAGTCGGTCTTTCACCTTGAGGCCACGCGGCCAACCGGATTGCAGTTGAAACGGATTTCAGTTTAGAGCCTTTAAAGGTGGCTTCGGCTCTTGTATAAACCCTTCGACAAGGGTTCAGGGTTTAGGATTCAGGGGAAGAAGCTGGAAGCACTGTCAGACTGCCACGAGTTCAGAGCTAGCTGCTAGCTGACGGACGAGTGGCTAACTACCAGGCGTTCCTGCTTGCAAGCCTGCAACAAAAGGATTTAGGGCACAGCTTTGCAAAGACCAGTAGAAATCGTGTGTCAGATTGGAGTCCGATGTTAAGGAGTCTCCGGCTTTAGGAGTGTCGGGCTGACATCCCACATTGCTTTTACCCACTACCCTGAACTCTCATCTCGTCGACTAAGAGACAGTGGGACTTGGACTTGCCCTGCAGGAAGGGCATTCAGACGAGTGTGACCTCGATAGGGCGAAGCGCAGGAGCCGCGGGGGTTTCATGTCACCAGCACCCTAAGGCTCGACTGAGGTGACTTGGCACATGGTTTTTAGCCCATATAGCTTGAGCCCTAGGGCAAGCCATGAACACTTGTGGAGCATTCGAGCACTTACACAGCAAGTTTATTTCAGGAGATTTTATAATATAGCATAGTATATAGATGCGTGTAGTGTACAATACCAAAGTGTAGAATATGATATGATAGCTTAGCCTAGTCTAGTGTAGTGTAGTATAGTTAAATCAGAAGTATGTATGTATGTATGTATGTATGTATGTATGTATGTATGTATGTATGTATGTATGTATGTATGTATATATATATATGTATATTATATAATATTATATTATACTATATTCAGTACAATATAGAATAGTTAGTATAGTACACTCTGTATACTATATAAAATACACATATAGTATTTTATGCAGAGACAAGTCCTTTGACAATTTGGGGCCTTCGGGCTGCCTCGCGTGTGAGCAGCGCTTCGGTGCTTCAAGTTTGATGGACAAACCATGGCTACACGCAGTCAAGGAGGGTTTAGGGTTTAGGGTTCAGGGTCAAGGGTCTAACGTCTAGGTCCACGGGTTTTAAGACTTAGGGTGTTTAGGGCCCAGGGTTCATCTAGCATGTTGCCAGGCATTGCGGGATCTTCGCGCTCTCCTCGGGATGGTGCAGTCCGAAATCCAAAGAGAAGGGACACAAGCCCGAAATGCCGCCATTCGTCTTCTCAACCAGACCTGAACCTCAACCTCCTCCCTTCTACGTCATTTGACTCAAGATCTCCCGCTGGTTCTGTTGGATTTGTGTGGAGAGGAGTGCGCTGCTCTTCGCGCCTCAGGGCAAGTACTTCCAG